CTTGAAATGTGATCAGCATTTCAAGAAGAATGCTGAAGACCCTATGCCAGCAGAACCTTATACCAATAGCCCTCAGGATAAAGATGGTTAGCTTGATTGCCCATGATCCCAAATATCTTTGTTCATGTGTCTTTCAAATGTGCCAACATGAATAAACCTAGAAATATTTTATTAACCATCTCTTCTGTCAATTATGTTTTGATGAATTAAAAGTTACTCTCCCAACATGCACAGAGGGGGAGAGAGAGACAGAGAGAGACCGAGATGGAAGGAGAAAGAGACAGAGAGATGGAGGGAGGGAGGGAGGGAGGGAGGGAGGGAGGGAGGGAGGGAGGGAAGAAGAGAGAGAGATAGAGAGGTCTGCCCCCATACTGTACAGCAACATGATTATCCCAGTACCATAATATTTCTGATTTGTAAATTAAACATTTGACCAGCAGGGCAGAATGAGCCGAGTCTTAGTGGCATCACCAGTACCAAGAATAGGACCTGGTCCCTCAATGGCTTCCAGGGGATGAAGCATGGGGAATGGCTTTTTGAAATTGGAGACAGAAAAGGCTCTATGTGGGGAGCTAAGTCTAGGCAAAGAGCAATAGAAGCATCAAGAATCAATCACCAAATCAGCCACAAAGAAAACAGACAAAGTGGGGAGTGGATGGGATGGGGGGACACTCTGCCTCCGCTCACTCAGGTGTGTTCTGTTGCCCTTTGTTATCTTTTAGCTTGGTGGTTTTCGAGGGGAGGAAATTCATAACAGGTTTTCAGTGGTTCTTCAGAAGTAGTCTCAGGTAAACCTTATTAACCTTAGTAGAAACCGGAGTGACTCTGAACATGCCCCATGCCTGCCTCCCACACCAGAAGCCTGTCCATGACAGAGGACTGGAGAAGCTAAACTGAGTCTTGCCAACAGGTACGAGCAGTCACTCTTCTTGGCATTAACCACACTGGAGGAGATTCTTCGGCTTGCCTCGTCGTGACTTCTTTTCACAACATTGCTGTGGCTCCTGGGTCATGCAAACTCAAAGGGTGTTATAGGATATTCTGTGCTTCTGAATATTCTTCTCACTGCCCTGCAGTCAGCTGAGCAATAGAGTCGGGATTACTGTGGAGTACCAGATCTGGGTTTGGATACTTTCCTGGCACTCATTCCCCATGCTGCTCACAGACCCGTAGCAATCTGACCAGTGTGATGAGGGCATCCCACTCAACAGCCGTTGCAATTCGTTGGTTGTCTCCTTACACAGGGACCCAAGACCCTCCAGGTAGGGATAGAGATGCAGTTTAGTGATACATTCTCTAAGATGTACTGGATCCAGGCTTAGATACCCAGCATGAAAAACAAACAAGGAAAAGCCCCCTAGAAAACCCCACTCTTCTTTCTCCATGTCTCTTGGTCCTCTCTGTCTGCCCGCCTACCACCACCAGCACATCCCCTACTCTCGGCCTTGGCTTGATGCTTCTCCCTCTGTCTGCAGTATCCCTTACCCACACAGCTTCACTGAGTGGCAAATGATCTTCTTTATTAGAGAAAATTGCAGATATGCATGGAACTAGAGAGAATTATATAGCAGACCACATATTTCATCCACCAATTTCGTGAATTCTCAATTCATCGCCAGTGTTATGTCGTTGTCGGTGCTCACTACTTCTACCTAGAGCATTTTCAAAGCAGTCACAGCCATTTGGCTATTAATAATATCTATTAGTAGACTACAGCTTGGGGCTAGAGAGATGCCTCAGAGGTTTTACTGTTCTTACAGAAGATCCAGGTTCAGCTCTCAATACCCGAGTCAGCCAGCTTATATCTTCCTGCAACTCCAGCCTAAGGAGATCTGGCTTCCTCTTCTGGCCTTCAGGGAACACCTGAATTCTCATTCAGATGCCTATACACACATACACAATTAAATAATAAATCTTTAGAAAATTTGTGGGACCTGAATTCATAAATTACATTTCTCTTCTTTTTTAAAAAAACAATACATGTGTTCAATGCATATTTGATAATGTCATACTTATATACCATGTGTTTTGTTCAGATTCAGCTCCATGACTCTTGCTTCCCTCCCTCCCTCTCTCCCTCCGGCTCTGGTTTATTGGACCCCTTCTTCTTTCTAGCTAGTCTCACTCTTACTTCCATATCTTGTTCTGGGAGCAGGAGAAGTGATTTTCCTTAGGGAAGAGCACACCAATTGGTTGTCTAATGCCAAACAGTCATCCTGAAAGTGTCCATACATGATGCGTTATATGGCCAGAGCAGGCTATATTTATATTATATATAGTATATTATATAATTTTATATAAATATTATTTATGTAATAAAATGTATATAAAATTATTTTATGAACATATTTATATAGATATAATATATTTATATTATGCATGCCATAATAACTAATAAAAAAGAGGCCATGAATTTGAAGGAGAGTGGAGTAGGGTATATGGGAGGGTTTAGAGGGAGAAAATATAAGGAGAAAATATTGTAATTATTTTATAATCTAAAAATAAAACAGCAAAAGAGTAAGTAATCAACTATAGAATCAAAAAACTTGTTACTTAACACTGCTATAGACTAGTATAAGCCCCCCCCGCCTATACTTTCCGCCTACCTCATCCAACCTTAAGCTTTCATGTGCAGACTGAGATGCAAAAATCATATTTAGAATGTAGGTTGTGATTCAAAAGGTATGTATCTGCTGCAGTTTCTGCTCTGCATGTGTCCTGTATGCATGTGTGGAACAGGGGATGGACCCAGGACCCCATGTGCCCTGTGTTCTGTCTCTCTGAGCTCTACCTCAGCTCTTTTACTAAGATCTAACCAACTCTCAGGTTTCACTGAATCTTCTGTGTACCAGCAACACTTTGAACAACAAGCTACAGGGACAATAAAAGAAATGAAGCCATTTCTGCCACAACGCACCTTCCTATTGAACCCCCCTCCAGTGCACGGCTAACTCAGGGAGACAACACTAGGGCTTATTCTAATTGCATAATTCTGAGGATGGTTTACTTCAACACACAGTCCCTGGATGCTGGCTCCATATCTTGTGCTAGAAAGGGAAAACATGCCACTGATTGATTGATCCTGTCCGGGGAGAAGAAGGATGCTGACCTCAACAGCTGTCAAACTGGCACAGAAGAATGCAACAGGGATCATAAGGGTAAAAGTCAAGAAGAGACGCTTGGTGCTCACCATCCAATGGAAATGTTACTTCTGGCTGTCCAAGAGCATACAGCTCAGTGGAAGAGGCTGAAAGGCTGAATTTGAACAAATGTAATTAGTGTCTGCAAGAAAGCTATCTACAAGGTTCTGTGGGGATGGAATTCAGGCTGAGAAGCTGGGTCTTCAGGATTTAGCTGGGCTTGCTAGTACACCCACCAGACCACAGTGGTGCAAGGGACTCAGGAGCGCAGGCCAGAGCCTACTCTGTAGAAGGAGGAAGGCTGGACCAGAAACATCCCAGAAGCACACTGTGGTTGCCTGGAAGACATGAAGCATAGAGGTGGTCCTCAAACATGTTACCCTTGCTGTGTTACAGTCACCCCTACAGATTTCCCTTCAAGTAGTTTAATTCAAGATTTTAGTTCTCAAATAGTAATAACATCTCCAGAGACAGACATATCAAAACTGCATAAGCAGAGGTGATGGTGCATTGTGACCCCTCTCTAAACTGTCCATGGCTTCACATTAATAATTCTTATTATCTCTCAGTGCTTTTGCTGTAGTTTGACCTCGCTATTTGAATCTGATCTCGGAATTTTCAATTAGCCACAAAGGTCCTCTCCACCGCGCCTCCTTTCATCAGAGTGCAATCTTAGATGACTCTATTTACCACCGCATATAATACAAAGTCTGTAATTAGAAAATACTTAAATGTTATAGAAAATGTTAGTGCCAGAGGAGCCCGAGATGAAGCTTGTGTGTGCGGATCCATGTTCGTGTGAATGTCTCCGTATGTGTTTGGATGTATGTGGAGTTCAGAGCTTGCCGTCATATGTCTCCCTCAGTCATTTCCCTACCTTAGTTTTTTGAGACAGGGACTCTCTCTGAACCTGAAGCTTGTTGATTCAGTGAGACTGGCTGATCAGCGAGCTCTAGAGAACCTCCTGTCTCTGCCCCCGCAGCAGAGACCACCACACTGGGTGTTTTTCTTTTATGTGGGTTCTTGGGATGAAACAAGGGTTTTCATGCTTGCACGGCAAGAACTTTGCTAATTGTGCCACCTCCTCAGCCCACATGAGATGTTATTATACATAAAATGGCTATTAGCATGTAATCTGAGGAAATGCACTGGTTACATTCCCTATAACTTTAAGCTCTGGTCTCCTTCGTACTTGATTCCTCTCCCTCCTTCCTCTTTCTCTTTCTTTGTGCTTTGTGCAAGCCTAGGTGATAAAATTATGTAAGGGGGACCAATTTGGAGTTGGTATTTATTTGTAAGTGCAGTCGGTGTTCATCCTCCTAGGTACACAAGAATGCATGATGTGTGCCTTAGTGTGGAACCGAGTCCATATACAGTCTAGTGGCCTAGTCTTCCTGTCATTATTTTCTTTGTCTGTGCAGGGTATGGTTTTAAACTGTCTTCCCTTGGTATGTTTCCTTCTTGAATGAATGGTTGTGTACTCATTATAGTCAATTCCCACTACAGATGCACAATTCTATTTCTCTGTAGACCATTGGGATGCTAATGTGATTGAGTTTCTTAGAGCTTCAGGATGTCTGTTGGCAGGCAGAGGCTTCTGTAGGGCTGCAGTAGATCCAGTTCCTGCAGCTTCCCCCATTTGGAAGCCAAGACTTCATAGCAAAGCAGGTAATCGATTTCTGGCTTAATTTAGATGGTACATTAATGGAGCCTTTTTAAAATTCACAGAACAGGATGGACTGTGTTTGTCTGACTCTGTAACTACTATGCATGGCAGATGCCTAGTAAACTCTGACGCAATGTGGGTCTGTGTGATGAGCTTTGCATAATTTTCACTTTCTCTGTTTCCTGCTCCTCTAGGGAAATGGGTCCTATGGGGCTCGTGTGACCAGTGAGCGCAGCCTGCTAGCCTGACGCCCAGCAGGGAGGGAGTCTACCATGGATGGCATCGTTGAGCAGAAGAGTGTTCTGGTACACAGTAAGATCGGTGATGCTGGCAAAAGGAATGGCTTAATTAACACCAGAAACTTCATGGCTGAGAGCAGGGATGGCCTGGTGTCTGTTTACCCAGCACCTCAGTACCAGAGCCACAGGCTGGTGGCCAGCGCAGCACCAGGCAGCCTGGAAGGAGGCAGAAGTGAGCCAGTGCAGCAGCTGCTGGACCCAAACACACTGCAGCAATCCGTGGAGTCCCACTATCGTCCCAACATCATCCTCTACTCAGATGGTGTACTCCGCTCCTGGGGGGATGGCGTGGCCACTGACTGCTGTGAGACCACCTTCATTGAGGACCGGTCACCCACCAAAGACAGCCTGGAGTACCCCGATGGGAAATTCATTGACCTCTCAGCTGATGACATCAAAATCCACACCCTGTCCTATGATGTGGAGGAGGAAGAGGAGTTACAGGAGCTGGAGGTCAGAGGATGTGCTTGTTGGAGTCCTTCTGGGATGGGGCCATGGGGTCTGGGGGAAACTTGTGAGCGCTCAGCAAAAGCCATTTGGGTTTTGTCATGCAAAAAAATACAGGTGTTCTTGGTATCACTTTATTCCTGAGCATTTGCAAAGGATGGAAGGAATGGAAAAAGACTGGGGACTGTCGCTGATTCTGGCCAAAGGTGACCCTTGGTAACAATCCTGTAGGTGGGGCAACAGACGCCAGCACTGGATGGCAGGGTAGTGGAGGAGACTGCCACTGAAAAACCTGCAAGAGAGAGAGGGACACATGGGTTAGAGACACATGGTGTGGGAGCAAATGGAGAAGTGGTTTGCTGTCATAGTGGGTCCCTTAGTTCGACACCTGAAGTTTCTACTAGTAGATCATTGCTAGCTCAGAACTCTCCAGAAGAAACAATAGAAATTTAAAAGGGGAGAAAAAGTAATTAAACCTGGGACCTCTCAACCCCTGGGAAAGCATTGGTCCATTGACCTATGCCTTACCTCTTTAGTAGTTAAGGCAAGTGAGGGCATTTGAATTATACACACACACAAAGCAGGACTCTGTGAGATAGGACACAGCGATTGCCAGCCATGTGATGTGTGAGTCATTGAGAGGCCACTACCATGCAGGTAGAGTTGTGAACAGAGGGTGTTCTACTGGGGCTTGAGTACAGTGGTCAGGAATGGAGCCCGTGAGGGCCGACAGGTCTCTGAATAGCCACCTCCATAAGCAGAGACCATTATACCATCTTATGACACTAATAGAAAGAGAAGGGCATGAGGCTTGGCCAAGGGTAAGTGTATAAATCTGCCTGTCCTGTATGAATCAGAGAAGCAAGAACCACAAGTACGTGTGAATCTGATACAGAAATTCTGATGAAGGAGTGTCTTGTTGGCTCTGAAAACAGTCCCCAAAGAAGATGTGAAACTGACATTGTGGTTTGAATGTGAGGCTGTCAGAGATCATTACAGAAGTGGAATCCCTATCCTGTATCTGGGGAACAGATATATAGAGGCTTGAGGGGTTATTGTGAGAGAATCTCAGCCCTAGAAGATATGGTAAGCACAGAAACAGCTGACCCTGAATCAAACTGAATAGAAATACTAAGGACTTTGGGGCATGGTGAATATGGAGCTCAGGAACCTACCACTCAGAACCTTAGCCATCTAAGGGAGACTGGATTCAGGAAAAGTTACATACTAAGCCATAGAACAGAAGGGCAGGCTGACAAGCTGATGCTTTCAGGGACAGGGAGCAGGGCGGGGGAGTCCAAGGCCATCCCCACCTTTCATGTCCCTTGGCTACTCTGCTGTGCAACATCCTGTGGGCCAGCCTGCTAGTTCTAATTTAAAAAGTATGAAACCTTCTAATATCTAATCCGCAAAGCAGCACAGAGCAAGTGGAACGCTGCATGGAGGAACTGAGGCCTGTAAGCTGCAGGCTTTGATTTCTTCCTTTGCCTATAGCAGAGGATCAAGGAGGATTTCAGGCAGGAAGGCCGCGGCAAATGTGCTGGATGGTTCTCTGTCAACTGGACACAAGCTGAAGTCATCTGAAAGGAGGGAACCTCAATTAAGAAAATGCCTCTGTAAGATCAGGCTGTAGGGAAGCCTTTAAGGCAATTCCTTAATTAGCGATTGATGGGGGAGGGCACAGCCCGTTGTGAGTAGTGCTAGCCCTGGGTTAGTGTTCCTGGATTCTATAAGAAAGTGGGCTAAGCAAACCATGAGGAACAAGCCAGTAAGCAACACTTCTTCGTGGCCTCTGCATCAGCTCCTGCTTTCACGGTCTATACCTGCCTGAGCGCCTGCTCTCACTACTTTTAAAAAAAAAAAAGATTTTTATTGATTCTCTGTAGATTTCATATAACACATCCTGATCCCATTCCTCTCCATCTCCTTGCCTCTACCATCTACCCTTGTGACCACCCCCCAAAACAAAATAAATAAATAAACAAATAAAACAAAATAAAATAAAAATCTTAATGTGGAAGCTGTAGTGTAGCCTAGTGAGTCACACACCTCTTAGTCCACACATCGTTACTTGTAAGCATTCTTTGCAGTGGAACATTGGTTTGGCCTAAGGCCTCTGGCTTCTGCTACTCTGTTGATGGTAGGCCCTCACTGGGACTCCTCCTGGATATCCGATTGTTGTCCTGTGTCACGTAGATCCTAAAACTTTGGATCTGCAGATCAGACCCCTTCACATACTCAGCCGATCACAGATGAGGTGGATGTTGGAGCAGGATAACTCATAGTCCTGGTTCTGAGCCTGGGTGGTAGCTGGCTTGGTCAGTCCACCAGCTTTCCCTTATGGTCACCTCCCTCATAGTCACCCCCAGGGCGCGCTCTCCAGCACTGACCCAGCTAGCTCACCCACTGTAGCAGGCAGCAAGGAGCAGGGTCGGTTCTCCTGCTCTCTCACCTGCACGTCTGGCTCTCCTGCGTGCACACCACCAGAGCCAGCTCCACTGTCTTGCCCAGGCCAGGTGTAGGGCTTGCTCTCTGGACTGCTGCAGTTGGTAAGGAACAAAGGCAGCTCTTTGGTTCTCGTGTCCCAGAAGTCAGCTCTCCTGCCTGCTGCAGTTGGCAAGGGCTGGGAGGAGGGTATATTTTCCCACCCATGCCACCTACAACATGGCATACAAGGGAGGAAGGAGGTACCACTCTCCTGTTTTCTCATCCACAGCACCAGTTCCCTTGTACCCCCCACCAGCAGGGTCAGCTCTAGTGTGCTCCTCAGGTGAGGTGTAGGGCCTGCTCTCTCATGTGCTGTAGTGGGTGAGGGGCAGGACCAGATCTCCAGCTCTAGTGACCCTTTGGCCAACTCTCTCTGCCACAGGTGGCAAGGCATGGGGGGGTATATTTCCCTCACTCATGTCACCACATGAGTGACAAAGGGTTTGGCACCAGCTCTCCCACTCTCATACCCTCTGGGCAGGCTCATCTGCACCCCCACCCAGAGAGTCAGCTCTGCTGTGCTGCCCTGGTGAGGTGCGGTGCCAGTTCTCCTACTCTCGTGACCCCAGGGCCAGCTCTCCCACTCACCACAGGCTTGGGGGGAGCTCTTCATTCCCTCACCCACTACCATATGGCAGAAGAGAACTGAGGTCAGGTATCCCATGCACTTTTGCAGGGGTGCATCACCTGCACCCTCTCCCCCATCAACAGGGTCAGCTCTTCTATGCTGCCAGGGCAAGGTGCAGAACCTGCTCTTAGGAGTTCTGCAGCCAGTGAAGGTCAGCTCTCCTATTCTTGTGATCCCGGGACCAGCTTTTCCCACCTGCCACCGGCGGTGAGGGACAGGGGGCAAGGTGAGTATCTCTCCCTTGCCCACACCACCGCACAACAAACAATGGGTCTAGCTTTCCTACTCTCCTGCCTCGAGGGCCAGCGCACCTGCACCCACACCATCAGGGATAACTCGGCAGTGCTGCCCAGGTGAGATGCCCGACCTGCTCTCCCAAGGGCTGCACTTGAGGAGGGACAGGGTCGTTCTCCCTAGTGCTGCAGCTCCTTTCGCTGCTTTTGATAATGAACAGTTACATGGATCTGTGAGTGAAACAAACCCTTTCCTCCCAAGTCCTTTTGGCCATGGTGTTTCAGCACAGCAGTATTAGTCCTAACTCAGACAGACAGGATGCATTTTGGGAAGCTCCTCTAGCTACAGAGTAGACAGAGGATGTGAGAGAGATGTAGGGAAACACAGCAAACCGGAGGCACAGAGCCCTGTTATCATACGTGATGGAGAGGAAATCAGGACAGCATTAGCAATGGAAAAGATAAATTTCAAAAGTGAAATCTGCCATTGATTGGTGGTAAAGAGAGGGGCCCACAAAGCATGTGCAGCTCTGGAAGGGGTTTTGGAAAGTCAGCTCCAAGGTACACTATGTCCTTGTAATTGCGGTGTGGGATACTGGCTAGATTGAAACTGTAAAAGAAATTTATGAATGTCTCCATTATCCTTTTTCCTCTTATGTGTGTATTATTTCCTTTTCCCTCTTGACACACTCAAATACATTCCCTGAATAATTGACTCTATGTCAAGATCACTGGGAGCTGAAGAGGTGCTTGTGTATCTTCTTAAGCCTCAGCCAACATCTCTTCTGAGACTTCAGAAAGGCCTAAGAATTTTCTTCCTTTTTAACACTTGTGTGGGTATCTGACTGAGCTTGCAACTAAACGACCAATATTTAAATGTGGTTTGTATTGATTAGTGCTATGTCTGGATCAACATTTTTGGCAATCCATTACCAGCTGGGCTCCACTTAGTGCAAATTTTTTTTTCACACAGTGACCTCAGTTTATTGCTTTTTTGTTTTGTTTTGTTTTGTTTTGTTTATGGAACTCTGTGGAGGTCTGACATCTATCCAGAAGTGACCTCTTGATTTAAAAATTAGGAGGTGGTGTTAAGGGGGGCAGAGTGGCCTACCCTGATAAGTACAGGCCTGAGGAAATGAGCTGTGCCACCCAAATGCCTTGCTCTGACCACGCAACGGCACTGGTAACCAAGAGAAAAAATTCTTTAAGAATTGGGTAACTGGAATATTGAGTTGTGGTGATGGTTTTACTCTGTGCTCATAGTTTAGAGTGGCCTTTCACTATGTGACACAGTACATTGGTACTTCTACTTTGGTCAGATGAAAGGCCTTCTAAATAACATTAATGGAACAGCACAGTGTTCAGAATAAATGTCCACTTGGGCATGTAGAAAGACTTTCTGGTTAATCTCTGGGAGCTCACCCAGCCTAAGACAGTCCCATCCCCCACAGACTCTGAGGGCAAATCAGGACATAGTATAGCCACTCCCAATTCCTCAAATCTAAGACCTAACCCCAGTGGTGGATTTTAAGAAGATACCCAGAGTGACTACTGGGTATTTCAAGAAGCTTAGAAGAACAAAGAAATGTTCTCAAAAACATTCTTAGGGTATAACAGCAATCTGTTGTTGGTGCTTTTTTTTTTTTGGTGGGGGGGAG